TAAAATAAGAACTTACTTTCGGAGCAAGAGGAATTATGGGATTCAAGAAATAGCAAATATGTTTCACGAATATATTTTATTCTCTCACTCATTGATAAAATACGGTTTCACGATCTTCTGATGAAAATTTAATCGGCACAATTGTTTTCATTCAGCGCTACCATCTCTCAGACATGAGACGCTAAATCCTTTCCTGGATTATAAAGATTATTTGGATTACGAAACTGTGGATACGAATAGTGGCAACGAATCTTTTTATTATGAGGAAAAAGATACCCAGAGTGCGGTTGATAACGAAATACTTTATGACACAAACTCGACAGCAATTGACAATTTTCTGACTGATTCGACAATTGCCGAACATTACTATACAAGTTCTACTTTGTTCGAAAGCGAAACCACGACGTCAACAACGATCGAGTCAGACACAATGGAAGGTACATTGTACTTCCTGTGTGTCTTTACACGCCCAATTAATTACTCATATTTATTGCGATAGCTATATTATATTATTTGATTTGTAAAATCGCTTAAAAGAATAATTTTCTTAAATATCGGAAATGGACACATTTTGAAATTATTTTAAACTTTCTTAAATAATAAATTAATAATCGCAATAACGAATAGACAATAATTAATATATTATATGCCGCCAGATTCATCGGAAACCAACGATTTTAATTTGACCGAAGGAGCAATAATTACTCCGTCGTCTTCAGACAGCGAGACGTCATCTGTTAGGAAATTCAATGTCACATCTATAATAGCCGAGACCACACCAATTACAACGTATATCTCAGAAAGTAGCTCTACTTTACAATCAAAACGTGTAATTCCTCTCTCAAAAGACAATTGTGAGGCCAGATGCTATGAAAAGAGTAATTGCACTGCTACACCGCCAAAGAATTTAAGTAAACACGTTTTCATCAAATATCTTATTTTATTGTATTCTTGTTGTTCTTCCAGTTTTTTGGCAATGGATATATTAAGTTACGTTTTCAGGTATGGTAGATCACAGAAAGTTGCTTCAATCATGTTGGGAAACTATGTTCGGGCAAGAACTCACCAAGCTCACTGTCATGGATTTGGTAGGATACAAAACGAATTTTAAAAAGTCGGATCATTAAAAATTATTATGTACTGTTTTTTTAAGTACGGCTGTTTATTAGATATTCACCATATTAGCTATCCTCATCATGGATTTCTTCCGCGCCGTTTTCGTGCGCTTTATGAATAACTGTTGGTGTTGGGATCTCGAGAAGCAATTTCCGCAATACGGTGACTTCAAGATAGCAGAAAATATTCTCCATTTAGTTATCAACCAAGGCATGGTTTGGATGGGAATGTTTTTCAGTCCCGGTTTAACGGCACTGAATCTCTTCAAGCTTGGCGTTCTGATGTATTTACGTTCTTGGGCAGTTCTCACGTGCAACATACCCCACGAGGTGGTCTTCAGAGTCTCCAGGTTATTAAAATTTAAATACCTTATTTGTAAAAACTATGTCTTATTTTTCGAGTTTGTGATGAACAAGTTAAATAATTAAAAAGTGCACGTTTACAAATAGTTAAACACCGTGCACAGAATTTGTGAATCCATTCTTCAGTTTTTATATAGTTCTCTATATTTATTCACAATTATTCGCCTGAATCACTCTTGATGTATTACAGGTCTAACAATTTCTACTTCGCGCTGTTACTATTTATGCTATTTTTGTGCGTGCTGCCAGTTGGTTACGCTATAGTCTGGGTCGAGCCTTCTTGGTTCTGCGGCCCATTTTCTGGTTGTCCAAAGATTTATAATTTAGCGACGCAAAGCTTGATAAATCCGCTTCCGGAGGAGATTCAACAGTACGTCTCTTTTTAGTAGCGTTTGACTGCCTTATGTAAAGGCAGTTCCAAATATAATCTATCGAAAATTTTTTATCTCTATTTAGATGTCTCGATTACGTCGCATCGCCTGGTATAGTGATACCATTGATTGTTTTCATGATGTTGATTATTTATTACATGGCATCTCTCGCTAGATCTTTACGAGAAGCGAATAACGATCTAAAGGTAATGACATACATATAAAGAAGTATGGGATATATAGCTTCACCAAGTTATGAATAATGTTTATATTTCATACTTATTTATGTTTAATATTTATTATTATTATTATATTATTATTGATTTTATGTTTAAATGAGCGCGTTGTTCCAGATGCAGCTACGACACGAGCGTACTGAAGAACGTCGAAAATTGTTCAAAATAGCGGAGAAGAGACATATCATGTCCGAGACTTCGTTGTCGAGATGGAAAAAAATTCTGCCGGCGTTGCGACAGGCCAGACTATCTCGAAATTTGGAAATAGTTCAAAAAGATAACATACAGATTGGAATTGGGAACATGAATACAGAGCTATATGCAATTGTCGAAGAACGACTAACGAACGACACCGAAGAAGACTCGCATCAAAATCAGGTATTGTCTAATTATGACAACGAGCAACGAGCTGAAGAACTGGACGATTTGATATTAAACGATATTAAACTTCTTCCAACAGAAGGTACGATAATAACAATTAATTGAGGAAATTCTTAAAATTTCGATTTCAGCAAGTTTTTCTATAAGTAGACATATTCGTTTGAAATAAAAATATCAAATATTATGTTGCTAAATTACGCAGTTTCATTTTTTCATCAGTAGGCCGATAAACGTCGTCGGATGTTCTTGGGACTCACCGTCAAGCGGACAAAGTGCTATCGTACCGGAAATCCAAGTAAACGACGAAGAAAAAGTATTCGACGTTCACGGAAATATGGAATTGGATGACTTGCCCGAAGACGATCAAGAAATAACGTAACGAATCAAATGTAATAAATAAGAAATTATTTTAAAAATGAGAAAATAATATATAACTAGTATTTTCATGATCCATTTAATTTCGCATGGATCTGAGCGGGGATCTCAATATCAATTTTATACTAGTCTGTGAAAAAACACGCATTAAAAGTATCTTGTCCCTTTAGAATTCTCCTTAAAATATTGTAAATTGATAGATTTAGTATTAATGTCTCATAACCTTTAGACATGGAAGCGCGCGTTTTCTATCCATATTGCGCTCACTGTTACAATTGTAGATTTCTTGAAATATAAAATTCACTCATTACTAAATCTATCGATGTAAACGATCATAGTCAGAAATAAGAATTTTGAAAATATACCTTTTGCAAAGATTTACTGGAGCTCTCGATCACTCAATGCAGAGTCAATGAATCATCGTTGTGTAGTGATATTCCTATGACGAACGTGAGAATCACGATTTCAACAGATTGTATGTATATTTGTTTGCATCTTACAAGTAACGTCCGTTGTGTTACAAGTCGTAAAAGATCGGAACAGTAGTCATGTTCCGGCGAATTTGTGGATTTTACACCTCACGCACGACTCGCGTCCGAAGAGACGGATTGTAATACGTACAATTACGTAATTCGTACAATTATTCGTATATTTATTCGTATTCGCGACGTTTACAGTGTACTCCCGTATATAAAAAAGGTCACTGTTTAGCGGACAAACTTGTGTAAAAAGTACCAATCGTCTTAAGAGGGTTTATTTTCAGTATATTTTTAAGTAATGTAAAAATAAAGATAAGCGTCATCACAGAGACAATTATGTACTTCCTATCTCCTCATCCTGCACGTGCATTGCACTATTGCATATTTCGCCATCATTGCTCGTGCTTTGAATTAATTTAGTACCCCGCACAGAAAGGCTCGCAACACGAATACACAGTAATATTCTATTAAAGGGATTTTTAATTTGATTTATAATTACCTTTTTCATCGCCGGTCTTGCCCTTGGCTTAGCACTAATATTAATTACATTCGTGATACCATCTAATACTTCCTGAGAAAAATAATTTACATGTGAGCGGACAAAACGTTTGCTAATGCGATAAAAAAAGGAAAGGTAATGCGTGTTTAGCATGCATACGTTAATGGCACGACAACGTTCGTTATTGCGAATGTACCGATGGTTGTTCAAGTTCTAACAGACAGTACGCCGGCAGATCGTTACAAGTGACGGATCATCTTCAAAGAATATTTAAAAAGTCGAGTGTCGGGCTCTTCCTCTCGTAATAATCGCGCGTAAATTATCGTGCGTTGCACACATTGATATAATATACCAATCAAACGCTTCTCCCGTCAATTGATTTTCGGTCTTTCTATATTTTATATGATCTAAAATTACGTTTTTACATTAATCAACGCGTGTCTTCGTTTTATGAGTGTAGAAAATAAGTACCGTTAATATCTTTCGTATAAAAATATATAATTACTATTGAAAAAATTGTCATCTGTGACGTACAGTATGCAAGATGACTCAACACGGTCGATGGACCAGGCGAGAATTCCTGGTATTCTAAGACTAGACAAAACGTCACGCTCTTCTGAGTTTAGAGCCACACCTCAGACAATGGCTATGCAGGTATTTACTAAGAATCTTATTTGTGCTTTTTGTTCCTCTCAGTTATTTCTATCTCAGAACTGGACATACATTTGCAACTGTGTATTTTTTCTTTGATTTTATTAGAACTGTGCCAAGAGACTTGTCTTTAATGTCTGTTATTAAATTTTTCTAAATCTAAAAGAGAAAGACGGAAATACAAATAACAATGATAGAATTATAGAAAAATTGAAAATATTTTTTTATAATCAAGAGCATAATCATTGCATAAAGATGTTATCGTTCGGAAATAAATTGAATGAAAATAAAGTAGTTTCTTCCTTGACAATCTGCTTTTATTTTTTATCTCTCGTTTGTCGCCTATTATTTTCTCTCTCTCTCTCTCTCTCTCTCTCTCTCTCGCTTTTTTATCGTTTTTGAACAATTTCATAAATTAGAGCAGAGACTAATTTACAATCGATCGATTACGAAGCTTGCGAGCATTAACGAAAATTACACCGGACGATGCGCAGCATAGGAATGATTTTCGTGGCATCGCGTGTAGCACGGTATACACGATAGTAATCATTCCCCTCGAGGAAAGTGATTACCTGCGAAGGGTGGAGCCGTACAAAGAACGAAAAATGTACGACGATTAACATGACCTGACACTTTTTCGGTTCTTGTCACTTTTGCAAACAGCGAATATTTCCTCCGACATAAGCAATTGCCTAAAACTGAGAAATAACATATATATAGGATTCTGCTGATTCATGTGAAATGTAAAACTATTCTTCAAAGCTGTATATCATTAATACCGAATGTCTCTTAATCAAGATATATATTCAGTCCTAAATAATATAAAATAAAAATATCTTAAATAATTAGAGATATATTTTATTATATAGATTTATATAGAGAGAATCGCGGTTTCTTAGGTCATCAGGCCAACAATGGTACGTACGACTATCGCAGACACGTTGATCATCGTTGATCAATGTAGGATGTCTCGGGGTGTGTCGCGTCGCGTGTGACCTCGAATTAAGGATTACCTGCAGACACGTGAACGAAAGGATTCAAATCCTGTCGTGTCAAAAAAAAACCGAGAAAAGGAAAGGGGAGATCTAAATCACATAGAAATATAATTTGAAATTAAGGTTTGATAATATTTCAACAATTTCTCCATGTTCCAAGTATGAAAAAACTTGACTTGTAAAATTTAAATTACAGAAAAATTCGTGGTTTGAAAAAGGTGTCATATTAATTTTTAAACAAGATTATTAAAAATCAGATTAAATATATCTCGACAACTGAGCAGTTTATTTAATCGGTACCCTATCTCTGTCATCCCTGTAATTAATGAGGAAAGTTCCCGATTTCGCACGCAAATCACGGAATGATTTTCGAAGTGATTTTTACGTAAATGAGTTTCAGCGATCTCTCTGGGTCACTGAGCTCTTCATTACTCGCGTGACTCAGGGAGATCTATGATCGCCGTTCGAAGACAGTAATTGGTATCTTTCGCCGTTCGTAGGTGGGTCCGTCGTCATCCCCGTCGCAGTCGCAACGGTCGGCCAGTCGACAGTCGGTTACGTTTGGTATTGTCGAATGCCAGCCGGACGAAGATCTCATTGAAGAAGATCAAAGGTCGCGAGGCGAACGCACGGATACGAGATTTCACAGCAACGAGCAGCGCATCTCGATCGCCGGTTAGTGAAGATAATTTTTTTTCTTAACGTTGAGAAGAGACGTCGAGAGCCACACATCGATAGCCTTCGAGTGACAGGCTGCGGATGGTGAAACTCTGTCAAACATTTTGAGTCTTTTAATTGGCTAATTTCGGGCAATTTTCCATCATCCGAGAAGCGACAGCCAAGCAAGCGAGTCCGAGCGGAATCTCACGGAACCCGGTGACAATGGACAAGTCAATCGCGGATGGCGAGGAGAACGACAGCGAGGACGATTACTCGGCGTCAGTTTGCGCGATTATGCAACAACGAAATTCGGCACGGCGGCAGAGTCGGCGGAAGCGACGTTCGTCGTCCCCATTCGGCGCCGACAACGTCGACGGCGTCGCGCGCCGTCGATCCTCGGTCTACACCACGAGCTCCGGCGAGTTAGTATGCGCCACTTTCAAAGAGTTAGAGTGGACTCAAGTCCATTATTTTTGCGAGATCTGCCTTACTTTATTGTCGAAATTGCGAACTGGAAGCAATTTAATTATATAATTAAAATAAAGCAGTATTTAGATCTCGCAGATTATATGGAGTTTATTCGCGCTCTGGTTCTTTATTTAAGAAACTCTTCACATTCTCTTCACATTGCTAACATCATTGTAGCAAGAAAGAGCAACATTTCGCACTAAAATAAAGCATGAAAAATATTACAGGCCTTATTTGTCATTTATACATGTATATAACTTTCCACGTTGCCACCTGAAATATTTTTTTAATGTAATTTTGAAGTTTATACATTTTAGAAGCGTATATATGAAAAAGAAACTATGTTATTAATGATAAAGAAGCTGCTTTTATCGAAGCTGCTCCTTTATGAAAGAATCTAAATGAGTGATATTAAAGATCATCTTTTTTTTAAATTACTTTACTATAATACTTTTTTCCGATATCTTATCGGAATTCTATTTCGATCGTCCGCTTGCTACAATGATCAACACAACTTAAATTAGCTGTTGTAATTGACGTCTTGGATTATAATAAAATCAACAGCACGATAATTTCGATGGAAGAGAGCAGTAATCAGGAGCAAATCTTCGAGAATCTCAATCTGCACAAGGAGGTTCTGAGCGGTACAAAGCAGCAGCCTTGGCCTCTTCGGCGTAAGATCAAACTCGTACGGCAAGCTAAAGCTTACATCAGACGCCACGAAGGTGTTCTGCAGGAAAGACTTGCTCAAAGTCACAGCACCAAAGACGTCATAGCACGCGTCTCACTTTTCATGACTAAGGTAGCGATTGTGCTGTTGTAAATATTTAATTAAAATTTTTAAGTAATATATCGATCGCAACAACTACTGTCTCTCATTTGTTTAGAAGTGGCAGTATTTCCGACGCGAGTTGATCAATTTGCAAACGTGGCTAATACCTTGGGAGGTCCGTATCATGGAAATAGAATCCCATTTCGGTTCCGCCGTCGCGTCCTACTTCATTTTTCTGCGTTGGCTTTTCTGGATCAATCTCGTCATCGCGGCAACCCTTACGGCATTCGTTGTAATACCTGAAGTAAGATAATTCTAGTCAGCGAAAATGAAATTTTTGCTTTCCAGACAGTTTATCAGGCTCGCTGTATTAACAAAATACTTAACTTCTTTTAACTCTTCGCCAGGTATTGATTGCAGACGCGAAACTCGCCGGCGAGAGGAAGGCCATGCTGGATGAAGAGAAAGTCAAGTCGAAGGACCTGTTAACTTTGTGGGAATTCGAGGGCGTGCTAAAATACTCCCCGTTTTTTTACGGGTGGTATACCAATAAGGCCTCGAACAGCAATTACAAATTACCTCTGGCGTACTTTGTCACCAATCTGGTCGTGTACACGTACAGCTTCGTCGCAATTCTGCGCAAGTACCGGCTGGATCTCTTCGTGTCGTTAAATCTCGCAGCACAGCTTCTCTCGCGAATTTTGTGAATTAACAATTGCATTTTTTCAATTGATAATCCCATTTCTTCGAGAGCTTTAGATAAAGTTGGTAAGAAATTGATACGTCTGTAGTGTCTGAAGAACACACTGTATACGTTCAATTTCTTGAAGGAAGATGTGCTGCGATATTCCATACTAAACGGAATTATATATTATTAAATTAATTCCCGTTACTTCTAAAATTATTTCCACGTGGTATGTAAAAAAAGCAAGCACGTGAGCGTAAGTACTCCGTTTCAGAATGGCGGAAAATTCACGTTTGAGTAAATTGATCGAAAAGGAGGACGAATACATTTTTTCATGGAAACTCTTCACGGGATGGGACTTTATGATCGGTAATCCGGAAACTGCACATAATCGCACAGCCAGCATCATGCTGGGTTTCAAAGAGGCGTTACTGGAAGAAGCGGAGAAGCAAAAGGACGAGAGAAAGTGAGCTTCATATTTATATTTTAACATTGAATGGATGATGTGCAGAGACAAGCTGTCCTTCTTTCGATTTTCTATATATTGCTTTAAAAATATGTACTGTCTGTTCTAATCAAAAATTTTTAATCAATCTTAATACAGAGATTTTATCTCACTAATTTCTTTAGACTGTGACCAGAAACGGAGTTCTATGCATTTCATAGAGTGTACATAATACATTTGATCGTGTTTCACAGTTGGAGAATCATCGCGATGAGGATATTTGTGAACGTGGCGGTGCTGTCGTTACTCGCACTGTCGGCATTTGCCGTGATCCAGGTGGTTGAACGAAGCAAAACGGAGTCGCAAAGTTGGTGGCGGCAGAACGAGATCACGATTGTGATGTCTTTGATCTCGTACCTCTTTCCGATACTCTTCGAGATCCTCGGCTTGCTCGAGAGCTACCACCCCAGGAAACAGCTCCGAATACAACTGGCGCGGTAATAAGCTGTTTATTAATCGCGACAGAATATACCTATACATCACCGTTCAAAGTGAGTAATCGAGTATAAGCGGTATACATTTGGCTGTTCTCTTGCTTCAGGATAATGATCTTAAACCTGCTGAATCTCTACTCGCTAATATTCGCACTATTCCGTAAGATAAGCTTCATGGTACGTAATTTATTATCATATATACGTAAATTAGAATAGCGTAATGAAAATTATACGATACGCACTATTATTCACAATTTCATGTCAATATTTTACACTCTTAGACCACGTTGCTTTCACAGTATATGTATTTTCTTAACAGAAACATGATCTCAAGCCGACATGTGAATATAAATTGATACCATGTGGCGACGAGCTGCAGACGCGTACGAGACGGATTGCGACGTTGGCATCTTTGAGTCTTATTTTAATAAGCAATGACTCGCATTCTTATGCTGATAATAAGAAGGAAATATCGTCAAGTATGATCTATTTAAATCGAAATACTTCCGACCGGCATACGTGCTATTTCAATTTATTGTTAAACTTTAAGAAATACTTAAGTAATTAATTATATAATAAAAAACAATTGTCTTAATAATTTATCTTTTTCTTTTGTCAAATTTTAAAGCGATTATAAATGACGATACGTAAAATAAGAACTTACTTTCGGAGCAAGAGGAATTATGGGACTCAAGAAATAGCAAATATGTTTCACGAATATATTTTATTCTCTCACTCATTGATAAAATACGGTTTCACGATCTTCTGATGAAAATTTAATCGGCACAATTGTTTTCATTCAGCGCTACCATCTCTCAGACATGAGACGCTAAATCCTTTCCTGGATTATAAAGATTATTTGGATTACGAAACTGTGGATACGAATAGTGGCAACGAATCTTTTTATTATGAGGAAAAAGATACCCA